ACATTCAGGCCCTACCCAGGAATCCAGGATAATATTCCCATCTTAGAATGTCTGAGTGTAGGCACAGAGATCTGCTTATGCTCTGCACCCGGCCTCCCCACATCATGCTTCAACTTTACTAGTAAGTCATGTGGCTACAAAAGTGTCATGGCTCAGGTCAGAAGCTTTCTGGCTTTCACAATGCACCCTGGGCTGACAGGCTGACTGGATTCAGCAGGTGTTTACCTGACAGGCAGCAGAAGCTGGGCAGAGGCTACTATCTGATATTAACTTGCTGGAACATGTCTACAAGTTTGTTATACTATAACTATGTCTTTATTAAACATAAAATTGTGTCCTTACACTAGCACTAAACTTATTGCAGAAAAAGAAAGGGTCTTCTCTTGGGGAAGTGTTTGGATAAAGAATTGTTAGTGGGAATAGGACTTACAGTAGCACCCCTCAGTCTTCACATGTCTTCATTAATCTGTGGTATTCACCAGGGCTCTCTACTTCCAGAAGCCTGGCTTAGAAAACCATATTGGCATACAGCTTTACAGGAGTCCTTCTAGCATTCTATAGCTCTTCCACCACCAGTTCCAGAATCTCCTAAGATCCCCAAGACACCGTCCCAGTGGCCTCCACTAACAAAGCCCTGAGAGAGAAAGCCCTCTTGAGAACTCATTAAAAAGCTATATTTGAAGAAAATTTCTCCTCTTTCCTGCTTCTCTCTTGGGGCCCCCTCTTCTTCCCCATGTCCAAGGTAAGTCTGAAAATTGCCTTTTCTCTGCTCAAAGACCTTGAAATGACATCCAATGGGGAAAAAACCCTCTCTTGGGAAGCTATACCTGACCCCAGCAGCACCTCTAAACACTCTGAGATTATAGACTAATTCTCCAGGCCTTATGACCCCCCCCCCATTATGACCTCATTCTCCACCCCTAAAGCCAGGGCTTGAGAAAGTCTAAATACAAAATGTTTTAGACACTGTTAGCATATGTATGAAGATCTTGAGATGTTTCCCAAATTGCTATACAGCTTTCTTGTCTCTGCAACACAAAGCAATCCCTGCAGCAGTTTTGCAACCAGTAATATCCTTTTTCTTCCTAAGAGGGCTAATTTCTGAGCCCCCCCCCCCAGAGGATGACACTGTAATTCAGAGAGCCCTGTGGCAAAGGAGGGACTAGCTTGCTTTTCCCTACTTATACTCCTGAAATACAGCTTTGAATTACTCTCTGATAGGTAACTGGGACCTCAAAACTCCTCCCTTCCTTTCCTGAAGAAATCTAGCGGGCTTCCATGCCTGTTGAAAGTGAGTATTCCCACAAACTTTTCTGCTCTTACAAATCAGTGAAGGGACCAGTGTGGCCAGTGGTTCAAACTTGGCATTATCCATGGTACAACAATGCCCAAAAAGGGAAAAGCATGTTAGGGGAAGAACTAGAACAACAGCCAGAGGCCTGGTCTCCTGTTCTGGTCTCATTTTCCCAGGTGAAGTCTGCTGTCTCTTAGTTTTATGGGTGAACATGTGGGATGGGATGTGAGTAATGTACCTCCCCAAGTCCCCTGCATCAAGCAACCTAGAAGCTTCTCTCCCACTGAAGACCTTAGTGAGCATATAATTGGGGGGCATGTAGGGATGGCCGGAGTTCCAGAATGGAACCATTCAGTGAGGAAGCATTGAGGGTGGTCATGCAGGAAGGCTTCTCTGTAGAGCTCAGGGACCTCAGTAGATCTCAAGGATCTCAGCAGATTTCAGCAGATCACATAGGATTTTCCAGGAAATTGGGGTAGGCACCAGATGTCATCTTGGAGTCCACTAGCGTGAAGACAGCTGCGTGTCTAGCCGTGTGGGGGTGGGCAGCAGCCACTTCACTGCTCTTCTGTCTTGTCTGTAAGATGCATACTTCCTAATAACAAAGGCCTTGGTAGGGAGAAGTTTATGGGAAAGGAACACTTCAGCAGTATTCAGTTGTTCTACAGCTTTCTTCTACCTTAAACACAAAGCAATCCCTGCAATGGTTTTGCACATGATACTTATCCTATATTTGCCTCCCTTTAACGCTACTAATCCATAACAATCCACCCCACATTCCAGTGTGACTAGAAGTTTTCCATGGCAACCGTAGCTAAACCTGAAACTGTCTTTCTTTGGATATTGTGGACATTTGAATCATCCACTTGTGTTTAAGAAATACTTGGTACCTACATAAAGTATTATGACAAATATTGCTATTTTTTTAAAAAAAATGAATTAAACTTGTGTTCTGTCCTTAAATCACTTACAGAGAAGTAAAGTAGATGTGTTATGAAGAAGTGACCCAGTAGAAGTAAACAGAAATAAATCCCAAGAAACTGTGTAGTTGGAGTTTAGGAGAAATAGGCACAAGGAGATAATCTTTTCAGATAGGGAAATTTTAAGGAGAGATTAATTTAGCAAATCAGCATTTATGAGAAGCCTTGAACCACTTGAGGATGTGGAATTGGGAGAAAGCCTTTGCAGGCAGCAAAAGCTGAAAAATCACAGGGTTGTTATCTAATGCATGTGTGAAAATAAACCTAAAAGGGGAAGTAGGGAGTGGCTAAGCATTCATTAATATAAAATATAGAAAGATCTGTTGTCACACGTTGGGTTTTCAGTCTGAAAAACTGAAAACTTATATCAGTTACTTATTTCATCAATGAGCATCATATCTAAGAATTACATTCACCATCCCAAATTATTTGATTTTAGAATTTTAAGGGACTCTTGGAGATGACTATATCTAAGTTCTCATCCTTGTGGTATCCTCCACACACTGTGGAGACCTCACTGGGAAGGCTGGTCATAAAATAGCCCCTTGCTGGGATAAGAATCAATTAGATACATGTCACCTACATAAAACTGTGGGTCAGTCTACTGCCACTGCCCTAATTGCAAGCCTGTGTAGAAGGCTCTCTGTGAAAGATCTACATAACCTGGAAGGGATGGTGAGTTTTCATATCCTGTACAGAGAAAAGCAAAGAAGAGGGTAGCAAAAAGCTATCATCACGCCAGCCAGGTTGCAAATACCCTGGACATTAGAACCACCCAAGAAACAGCAACACCTAGGTACCAACAACTAAGACAATTAAATCACAACTTTTGGTGAAAAGCCTAGGCCTTGTTTTGTTTGTTTGTTTGTGGCTTGGGGATTGAATCCAGTCCTGGATAAGCCACATCTCAAATCCATTCTTGGGGGTTTTTGTTTTTGCTTGTGAGATAGAGTCCTACTAAGTCTGTTAGGAGACTGAGAATGTAGTCTAACAGTGGGTCAGTAATTGAACTGGAAATATTGATCACAAAACTTTTGTAAGCTATCTTAAATGTCTGTATCATTTTTAAAATTACTGTCTATTTACCCTTCAGGCTTAACAATTAAATGAGATAGGACTATGTCTTAAATTCACAGAGATGACAAAAAGAGCAGCTGATGAGAAGTACAGTACCTGTTCATGGAATTCTGAGATGTCAGAGATTAGGAGAAACTTTTAAAATTGCTCATCTCTGGGTCCCCTTCAGATTAATAATCAGCCCTAAGGTGTAGCCAGGATGTCAGGACTTTTTCAAACTCCTGTATACCTCTCATAAGTGAACAAGCCTGAGTCGCAATGAAATATTCTCACTTCATGGCTGCTTGTGAGTTCCTCTGTCCTTATTTCTCTATGGCCAGTGCTGGTGGCAGCTGTGGCCCTGCACACAATGCAGTCTTCTTGCTCTGACAGCTTCCCCAAAGACTGCGCAGTCAGCTGTCTGACAGGTTTCCCACATCTTCCTGTCTCCTCTGCATCTCAGATCCCAACTCAGATGCCACCAGCCAGCACATTCATTTCCCATTTTTATAAAAAAAGGACTTTCAGAAACATGTCTAGTGACCATCTCCACAGACACAGTCCTATCTGTCATGAACAAGAGAATTCCTGAATTCTGGGATCTGAACTACTCAACCCTGGACCCTAATTCCTCTCAGGCACTATCCCATTTTCCTTCTGTCAGAGATACCAGGCTCCAGGTGCTCTTCACCTTCTGACTCCAGTCTACTCTGTTCAGGAGAATAACACTGCTGAAGTGTTAGTCCTGCTCAGGCCGCAGACAATAGAGGCAATGATATTTTTAGTGCAGAGCTTCACAGAAAATCTGAAAGACAGTTAAATCTGGCTTTCTAAGTGCATGTCTACTTCATTGGAAGATTTGTCCTTGAACTGACATCTCGTTGGTCACTCTACCATGCCTGACTGAGTCCAGGATGAAAGGAAGACCAGTTCACCGGGCAGTGCAGAGTCTCAGGTGCATCTAAGCAGCAGCCACCATAAGGGCCACACAGCTTAGATCTTAGCCAACCATACAAACAGAGGAAATAACTTTAAATAGAGATGCTAGTCAAAGTCAGTGTAAAGACTTGAGTAACCAAAACAATAAGGCCCATTTATTAAACTAGAGATTTTGAATGCACTTCAGAGCATGGTTCTCACCCTGTACTTGTCTAGTCTTTCAAACTGCCACAGCCACAGATACCTTCCCTATGATTCTTAGCACATTTGATTATCACTGTTTCTAGAAATTTTAACCCTAAGTTATGTTTTTAAATAATTTCTAGTTTCTCTAAGTATAACTTTTGCATTTCGAAATCTGTGTCTTGGTTTGGATTGATCCTACAGAGTGAATTCATCTAAATCTTTCTGTATTTAAAGAAGTCTGTTTTTAATGTATTTTTCCAAGTATTCTAGCTTTTCCATCTGGGACATGATGGGAGCTAAGAAGTGGTGATAGCACTGGGCACCTCAACTAAGAACAAGTTCAAAGCATTGAGGTGATAGAGCAGTCTGTGAGTAAGATGTGAGCTGGGGCAAGACAAAACATTCCCCTCGACAGTGGAAATATTGCCACGGGGCTTTGAACACGGTTTTTATTGAATTTGAACAATTTGAACAATTTGAACAAGGTTTTTATTGAATGATTGACCTGGTATTTTCCCTGCTAGGATAGTTTCTTACCGTGATTCATGGATGCAGAATCTGGGATCAACAGAACAGCTATCACTGAGTTCATCCTACTGGGCCTAGTGGAAACAGAGGAGCTACAGACCATGCTGTTTGTGCTCTTCTTCTTTGCCTACCTGCTCACAGTAGGGGGCAACCTCAGTATCCTAGCAGCCGTCTTGCTGGAGCCCAAACTCCACACCCCCATGTACTTCTTCCTGGGGAACCTCTCGGTGCTGGATGTCGGGTGCGTCAGTGTCACTGTCCCCCCAATGTTGCATCATCTGGTGTCCCACAAGCATACAATTTCCTATAATGCTTGCCTCATGCAACTCTTCTTCTTCCACCTGTTGGCTGGCACAGACTGCTTCCTGCTGACGGCCATGGCTTATGACCGATTCCTAGCCATCTGCCGGCCCCTCACCTACAGCACCCGCATGAGCCACACTGTGCAGAGGACACTGGTGGCTGTGTCCTGGGCATGTGCCTTCACCAATGCACTGACTCACACTACTGCCTTAACTACCCTCAACTTCTGTGGTCCCAAAGAGGTCAATCACTTCTACTGTGACCTCCCACAGCTGTTCCAACTCTCCTGCTCCAGCACTCAACTCAATGAACTTCTTCTCTTTGCTGTGGGCTTCCTCATGGCAGGTGGACCTGTGGTTCTCATCATCGGTTCCTATATTCATGTCGTGACTGCAGTTCTACAGATCCGATCAACGGAGGGCAGGAAGAAGGCCTTCTCCACGTGTGGCTCCCACCTCACTGTGGTTTGCCTTTTCTATGGGACAGGTATCTTCAACTACATGCGCCTGGGTTCAGAGGAGGCCTCAGATAAGGATAAAGGGGTAGGGATTTTCAACACTGTTATCAACCCCATGCTAAACCCACTCATATACAGCCTCAGAAACCCAGATGTTCAGGGTGCTCTGTGGCGAGTGTTTGCAGGAAGATGGTCACTGAGCTGAGACATGATAGATCCCTCCTTTCCTTCCTTTTCTGTACAGCGAAATTTCCCAGGAAGGCAGTAATTAAATGAATGTCTCCAATGTTTTGGTTTTGTCAATTTTGTTCTTTACTGTTTTGTTCAATTGTATTATAACTAATGATATAGGCAATTCTGGTAGAGATAGCGGGAGGCATTATGGTAACCATTGTTGATCACCTTGTATTATGTTTTTATATTATCTATTATGTCCACCCTTTTGACTTGACCGATTCTGTTCTGTTATGTCTCATTTGGTTTTACTCTCTTCCAAAAAAGCAATAAGAACCGTGGGAGCAATGAAACCCAAAATGTGTAATAGTCATTGTACAAAAGAGAGGAAAAGAAAGTGCTCTAAACTATATAACTGCATGTATATTTAAGTGTATAAGATAGAAAATGATATCACAGAGTTTTATTGGATCATTGAACAGAACTGTTTGCAGTATCATTGTTGGAATGTCCACTCTACAAGCTTTAATTTTGTGACTTGAACAATTATTTCTAAGATGGCAATATGTAATCCATTAACTAGTGATTTCCTACTGTTCATTTTTTTCTTCTGTAAATCTGTATAACTTGTACCCTTTCCCTGTTTTTTTTTTCTTTTCTCCTTAAATAAAAATAAATAAATAAATAAATAAAATTTTAAAAAATGACCCATAGTCATTTCCTGTCTCCCGGTACCTGTGAATTAGTGCTTCATGTTTGTCCCACAAAGAAAGGCTGCCTACTTCTTCTTTTATACATCCAATAGATGTTTATTTAATCACTACCATAGCACAGTCTTTTAGAGAATTGGTGAACAAAATAGACAAGTTTTCTGTACTCATGGAACTCATATGATATAAACGTCCATATAGCAAATAAGCATCACATCAGTGATAAGTACTATTAAAGAAAGATAGAGGACATGAAGTCGGGTCTTGCCAAGCAAGGACCCTAGTAGCTACCTTACCTTTGGCTACATCAACTTTCTGAAGAGAGCTGATGATTGGTCACCCTGCATGTCTGGAAAGCAATGCCCCATGGGGAAGAGCCACTAAGTTCATTATAGCCTAAGAACCAAGAATATCCCTCTCAGTGACAAAGTGTCTTTCTGGTGAGGATGTGAGATTCCCTCCAGAGTGTGGGAAACATTTGTAAAACATGGGCTCAATTGCATTTAGGTTTGCCTTTCACCTGAAGAAAAACGGCCCTTTTTCCTACTATCTCATGAAAATCTCATGGGTATTTAGATGACAGGAAAGGTCTAGATAAGAAAAGGGCCTAATAATTAGTGGGTACATTGATGTTTACATCTTAAGGTCAAAAGAGCAATGTTCTGTCCTTATTCCTACCCCTTTTTCTCTTATCTAGTAATTCACCTTCCTCAAATATATGATAAAGCCTTTGGAAGGGTATGTGTTTGTATTCCAACTGGGTCCTAAGAAGTTCCACCATACACGCTCAGCACAACCTCCAAGTCTGTCTCTCCCAAATTTTCTTGCATTTGTATATACTGGGTGTGATGGCTTGATAGTCTGTGTTCTCTCTCTCTCTCTCTCTCCCCCCCCTTTCCTCCCTCTCCCTCTCCGTCTTCTTCTCCTCTCCCTCTCCTCTCTCTTCCTACCTCTCTCTCCCTTTTTCCTTTTCCTTCTCTTCCCCACTGTCTCTCTGTTTTTCTCTGTCTCTCTCATTCCCTCTAACCCTTTCTCTTTCTGTCTCTCACTTTCTCTTCTTTTGTGAACTGAGTTATTTAACTGAACACATACAGAGGTGGACACATACATTGAAACTTGCCTTTAAGTATATTTTTGTTTCTATACTTATAATTCCTTTCCATTCCCTATGTTTACCAAGTATACACTACCTCTTTTCTCCCCCATCTGTCCTCTTTTTCATTATCCTATCTTTAATTTTTGGTGATACCTCTTTCTAACTTTATTTCATTAATACATCAGTTCAACCCAAAGCATTTCCTCATCTTGATGTTTATTTAGCCTTTGGCACATTCATTTCCAGTTTGCACCCTCTCCAGCCTCTCTGGGAAGCTACTTAAATATAAAAATATAAAGAGAAATGCGAGAGGACAGAAAAGAAATGAGAGAAGATGGTAAGAATGTAGGATAGAGGCGAGAAATGCAGTTCTGTGGTACAGCACTTGACTAGCATGCACATGGCCTTGGGCTCAATCCCCCAGTGCCAACAGGAAAAGAAATAGAAGGATAGAAGTGAAAGAAAGAAAACAATAAGAGAATGGGGAGATGAAAGAGGATAGAACAACTCAGGATATCAAAATAGGTGCTTCAGGAAGGCCAGTGAGATACAAAGTGGGCATAGAGAAAATGAAGAATGAGCTGAGATGGGAGAAGAAAATAAAATTCATTCTAAAATACCCGTCACACACATCCTCTTAATTTCCAAAAGTTTTACACTAGTTTATAGCTTCATTGTGTTATTATAATGTCTGTTTATCCACTTTCCTGCCATTAAGAGTCATTATAAATAAATGTCTTACATTTTTATAATCTGAAGATTGAAAAATTGAAATTTTCTGGCTATATTGAGGTATAATTCACAAGTGAAAATTGGATTTACTTATCATACACAATGTGATGCTTTGGTGAGCATATACATTATGAAATGATTTCCACAGTTAGATGTGTGGCCATCTAAAGACCAGCTTCTACATCTTTGATGTTGGTGAATCTCACCCACCTCCCAGAAAAAACAGTTTACATTTTCCTGAGGGTCTAATAATATGAAGCAGTCTGGGCACTCCTTTTCCCTTCTTGTGACTGGGAAAGGGATATAGATGGACAGAGAGTAAGACTGACAGCAGAAAGCGAGGCGGCCGGGATGGAAATGCTGAGAGTTCACCTCCACAACCACCAGCCAACAAAATCCCCAGCCTCCTTGTCTTGGGGGATAACCTACCAATTGTATGAAAGCCCAGAAATGAAGACAAACTATGTTTCTTCCATCTGCCTCTAGATGCTTTGGGGCTAAAGGAAGTGCTTTCCATAAAGGGCACACTTCTTGTGAGTAGAAGCTAGAGATACGGGTCATAGTCATCCACTGCTCTGTGATCCTGGAAATTTCCTGACCATGGCTGGTCTTGTTCCCGCCTATTGCAGAAGGGACAGGGACATGATCGTCTCTCCACAGTTCTTCACATTCAATGACCTCTGATTATGATTATCTTACTGGACCTTTCCCCAGGTCTGAACACATTAGAAAACATGAATGGAGAATGTCATCACCACCATTTCCACCATTGTCTACACCAGGAGCCTTTAACATTTTCCCAATGAACCTACAGCCCCCAGAAGTCTGAGGGCCTTGGCATTCCTTCCTGCTGAGAAGTCGTCCCTTCCCTGTGTTCTGCTTGCCTTCCAAGGCCAAAGGATTTCTTCAACAAATGCAGAAATTCTATTTCCTCTGGAATTTCCTTTGAAATTGTTCCATTTGGGGATGTTCCCAAATACAAATACATTTATTTAAAAACATGTTGTATCTAATAGGGGAAGCATCTAGGCAACATCATTTTGTCAAATAAAAAACTGGAATCCAAGTGCTCCTTCCCTGCAGCAAAATTCAAGATTAATAGCTCTGAAGAATTTTATGTTTATTCCTCCGAGATTTTTTTTGCATATATTATATGAACATTTCATGTCAGTGATCTTGTTTTTCCTACACATTCCACATCATTTCACATGACAAAGATTAAAATCACGCTGCATCTATTTTAATCGTGGTACAGAATTTAATTAATATAAACAAGCATTTAAACTACTAATTTAACTTGGATTGTTTCTTTTTGTCTTGCAATAACAAATAATGATATAATGAAATTGGAAAGAGAGTTGTTTTTCCCAAGTTACATAATTAGTTCCCCATGATTAACTCTGTTAAATAACCTTGCTGGAACAAAGAAAATACAAAAACAAACTTCAAGATAAATGTGCACAAAACACGTGCACACACAGATACATACATACTTCACTTATTTTCCAAAAGCTTTGCACCAATTTATAGATTCCTTGTGTTGTTATAATGTCTGTTTATCCACATCTTTGCCACTAAGAGTCATTATAAATAAATATTTTATATTTTTATAATCTGAAGTTTGAGAAGTTGAAATTTTCTGGCTTTATCGAGGTATAACTTACAAATGAAAATTGGATTTATTTTTCGTATACAATGTGATGCTTTGATGAGCATATACATTATGAAGTGAGTTCCACAGCCACACTAATAACATTCCCCTCACCTCACATACTTATCTGCATGTAAATGTATGTTAGGAACATGTCAGTTCTACTCTTAGCAATGTTGAAGTATGTAACACATTATTATTAACTACAGATAGCTTGTTGTGAAATGGAACTTAATCCCTCTGTTTAATTGAAACTTTGTGCCCAGGTTCCAAAATATTATTCTCAGCCTTTTATCAGTAGCTAATGTGAGTTTTTTTTAACCTCTGTCTTCTTTCAAGGTTTTCTGTTGGTTTTTAATTTCTTGCACTTGTATGTATTGATTATTTGGCACTAATACTATTTGGTTTTCTTTGAGTTTCCTAGATCTAGTTTGGTATCTATCTTAAACTTTGACAATTCTCAGCCTTTAATAGTTTTTCTGTCCCTTTTTCTTCTTCTGATACTACCATTATGCCATACTACAACTTTTGTAATTATCACCCCCCATTATTAAATGGACCAATGAACCCATCAAGTTTGGCCCATATTTGCTTCTATAACAAAATTCTTTAGCCTTGGGGCTGAGAAATTCAAAATCAATGTATCAGGGAATTTGGTTTATGGCAGAGCCATAGATGCTGTCCTCTCTCTGGATCCTCAGCACAAGAGCCAGGAAAGCCTTCTGGGGTCCCTTGTAAAAGAGCATTAATCTCATTAATGAAGGCTGTCTTTTCTCAAATGTTCTGTTGTACACAGTTCTGGTGCAGGAGGCAGAAGTTACTCCATTACACAGAACTGGTGC